CACACAAAGATAGAAAAATTGGATCTGATCTTCTTTCTTGTCATGAGACAAAATTGATTCAAACAAAGCATGACAAATCAACTGAATGCAGTTCAACTTGCTTATCGCTTAAAAGACGCTCATTTATCACCACCTACCTTTATAAATATACAATCTGGAACGATCACTGAATGAATGGACGACCGAATATTACTTTACCGATCTCACAAATCTGAATAACTCTTAATCATTTCACAGATTACTCAGTTAATTCTGCTGTTCTACAAAGGTCTTTTTCCCGGGTGGGGGTGCACCATTCCTGGAGATACTGCAATACCAGGTCCCTGATCCAAAAATCAATTCAATATATGGTCAACTCCCTGTAACCCCCTCCATCCCTCCTTGTCGCCTCTTCCCCATAACACTCTTTGAAGACTTTGATCTCGGCCGACATTTTTCCCAGCAATCGTGAGAATAATCTCTCCGAACGGGGAATATGTTTCCTCAACCACATTATTCTCCATTCCCAAAGAACATGCTTTCCCTCTGAAATCATGCCCCAAATTACTCCCCAAGCTCTTTTTCAAAACCTTCTAAACCCACCCCATACAGCAACTAAGTTACTTGTAATGTTCAGCCCTCCCCACCCCTCCCACCACAACATTACTGACCTCCAGAGCACAACTGTTTCCGGGAATGACCAAAAAGCATTCTCTATCGTCTCTTCTTGATCGCAACAATCTGGCACTTTGGTGGCCTGTCTGCACCATGTCTAATCTATACAACCTCTCCCTCACTGGTAACCGGTCCAAAACTGTTAACCAATTTAGATCTTTGCAAAAACCTGTTATATATGATGGCTGCAACATAGTCCAACTCACTCCATATGGCCAATCTACTTTCTCCACAACCACCACTAATGGATTAGTTCATCCCCTAATCTATGGTACAGAGGTTTGTGCTCTATGATCACGAACTGCTCTAGACACCAGACTTCGAGGCAATGCCACTCTCTGAAGATATTCGGTCCTGTTTGTCGACCAGGGCCTTGTTCCACTCCAATTGCTCAAAGACCTCAAAGGAAAGGCTAGCCAGAACTGAGCTAAAAACCTAGCCTTATGCACCATCTCCTGGTGCTAGGTTAGCCACATAGGAAAAGATGATAATATCGATCTTCAAAGAAATACATGGGACCACCCTCCCTCCTTCCCTCACCAATCGGTACATCTGCATCCTAGCCACCTTTTTAGTACCATTCTTCCACAAGAAAGAAAAACAGCTTTTCTAACTGTCTCCCGTACCAAAAAGGAACTGGAAGACACATAGGCCTAGACTAAGTAATTCAGGCTTGGGAGTAGGTCTGCCTTCACCACTTTTAACCTTCCCCACAAAGATAGACGCCTTGAGATCCACCTCACTATCTTCGCCTGCACTATCTTCAAGTTTTCCTTAGAACTGTTGCATCTAGAATATCTGACCCCTAGGATTTTCAACCCTTCTGCACAGATGTTATAGCCCCCTCTCGCCTATCAGTGCACTGACCTAAAAACATGACTGAGGACTTGCCCATGTTTACACATGCCCCAGACACTTTGCAAAACCCATCCAGGATTTTGCCCACCACCTCAAAATCACAATCAGAGGTCAGAAACAGGGTCATGCCATCTGCATAAGCAGCCGCTTTTGGAGGTATATGCCCCTACCTCCAGGTACGTGAACACCTGTAAAAGAAGTCGTTGCTCTCAATGCCACCAACAGAGGTTCCAAGGACAAAAAAAGAGAAGGGGAGACAAAGGGCACCCCTGCCATACTCCTAACTTTTCCACCAATGCCCATATATCCCTACTCTAGTGAAGGCCTTCCCCTAGAGCAGTTTTACCGTTGCCCTAAAGACTGGTCCAAAGCCCATACAGCTCAAGCCTCCAGGAAATCATAGTTAATCCTGTCAAAGGCCTTCTCTTGATCTAAACTCAAGAAGACTAAAGGAAGCAGCCGCTGCTCTGCCTCTGACTAGAGCTAAATTAATAGAAATTGACCCCACAAGCCTCGTCTGGCTGAACTATTAGCCAGTGGCACCTATTGTATCCGTTAGTTTTCTTATTATTAATCTTTCACGTCTTCTTTCGCTCTTGAACTCTATGGCAGCACATAGAACGGTATGGTAAAAAGTTGTGAAATTTGGTACATAGATAGAGGGCAGTCTAAACATTCACCACAGCAAATTTAAAGTCTCTAAACAAATCCCTCAAGCGCCACCAACTGTCCAAATTTCCACGTTTATGCTATTATGCGTTTAACTATTGAACTGTAAGGGCTAGAAACAAAAATTTTTCACCTTCTGATTACTTGGATCAACAAGATTCGCACCTATATCTCTGCAACGTTTTAGCGTATTCAGACCAAAGTTGGTACTTGTCATCCCAAGCATGACCTTAGGCTACATGCAGCGTTTTGGCACAGCGCCACCTACTGATCAGGAGATATGAAAAATGGCTATTTTAGCTTATAATTCAGAAATGTTTGCCCAAAAATCATAAAACGGGTCTCTTCTGATTCAGTGCATCATGCCGAGTCGAGATTCCCATATTGACTATTGTGGGCGTCGACCATTTTCAATTTTGTCCTAAAATGATGTTTTAAAAATGCATCAGTGTATCGTTACGAAACTCGGTATCGTGTCATCGGGACCATGCTCTGAAGGTATTCAAAAAGATTCGAGACAGTGACACCTTGTGGTCAAAAGTTATAATGAAAATTCCAAAAATGCTAATAACTTTAGATTAATTTTGCCTATTTTAATAAAACTGGTCTTGATAGATTCCTTGGGTCATGCCGAGAACAATGATGCCAATTATGCCATATTTGCAATGCTCGAACTTGCTGTCCGCCATTTTGAATTTCTCCTAGACCGATTTTCACCGATTTTTTTTTCTGATTTTCACCAAAATTGGCTCAGATCATCCAGGCAAAAAGTTATCAAAAGTTTTTGATAGACCAAACCTATTCTAGAGTAACGCATCAACGAATTTGTCGGCATGATTCCAAGCATGTTCTGAGGCTGTAACTCTGCAACTCTTTGGCATATTGTCATTGTCACCTCACACTGACCACACCATAATAATTTGATAACAGCGCCACCTATTGGTCAAAAGTGATATGCAAGTTAATAATACATCAGTGATTGTATTTGTGATTTTTCAGCCATTTTGACAAAAAACTAAAGACTTCTTTATTTACTTATTGTTGCTGTTTTTCTGAAGCTCCCAGCCATGCTTGCATTTCATATTGTTTCTTTTTGTGCTTGGCCCTGATAATTGCTGCTTGTAGCTATTTAAAAATTATATATGAAAAACTCATCATAAACCTATAAACCTACCTTTGCATATCACCAGACAATGAGTGATTTTTTCCCCTCGACACTACATTTTCTGTCTTGTCAATTTTCCCAGGTTTGTAGTGAGTACTTTTGTAGTTAGACAGTGATATTAAAAGACCAAATTCAATACAGGCTACACCTTATTGATGATGCATACTTTATACAGGCAAGCAGATGATCAGAATATAAATGCAACGCAAGGTTTCCGTTTTTCCATCGAAACCCATTATAAAAAACGCATAGCAAAACAAGACGACAAAAACTGGAATTCGTATGGAAATAACTCAATATTTCTACATTAAACATTTCTGAACTTAAAATACTGTTTACGACCGTGGTTTAAGAAAATGCTGATATTTAAAGGACGTAACATTCCGATAGTGGATTCAAAGTTTATGTTAAGTATTCCTGTATTTAGACGGTTTAAACTAAGCACAAAGTGTCGAATAAAGGTTAAATATGAAAATACTCACAGGAATAATATGAATCAGCAGCACTTGTAGCCATGTGCAAGCTTGAGCTCCCGTCGCGTCCACGTACCAACGGTTACGCTCATTAATATCATGATTAATATTAATTAGACAGTGTTGACGCTCCTTAACATTTCGATTACATTTCTTTATCAAACAGCGCTGTCAGTGAGAATAAAATAATATATTTAAACAAATTTTTTTTTTTACTCACCTTCAAAGCTACCAACGATGATCATATAAGCAATGTACTATCGCATTTGCAGATTGATATCCAAATGTTTAAAATATATATATATATTTTTTCTTCTTCTAACAAACATCTGGATATTAAAATGGAATAAAACGGCACAATGAAAATAACTAGCTAGGTTAACCGAGTATGTTTAAAGTCGAAAGATATCAGCATCACTTTCTCCGAAGCGGATTAAGACCTGTTTTTCCGTTTGTTCATGTGACGTTTGACACAAAAACTATTCGAAATCAATATATAAACAAGTCTCAATTTTATAAGTAAATATTTTCTTCATACCCAGATCACATTATTCAACCAAAATAAAATGGTTTTATTAAACAATTATTTGATTAGGGTGCATATCCATTCTGAATAATAACCGTTAACTTTAATGAAGGGTATAACAACAGGCAAATTTGATAATTAAGCAATAATTTATATGAAGGATAACTATTTCATTGGGAGTTTTACACAGTTAAGCTCTAAAAAAAGCAGGTTCGATGAGGTTTACATCTAGTGCTGTGCAACGATTAATGCATCCCAAATAAAAGTTTGTGTTTACATAATATGTGTGTGCGGTGTATAACTATTTTGTATATATAAATACACACACATGCATGTATATATTTAAGAAAATGTTGTTATTTATATTTATATATAATATAAATGATATATAAATATAGTATAGTATATACATGCAAATATTTCTTAAATAAATACATGCATGCGTGTGTATTTATATATACAAAATAATTATACACGATACACACACACACATATATTATGTAAACAAACTTTTATTTGGGATGCGATTAATCGTTGCACAGCACTAATACTTCTCACAGTCTTTCTTCTAAATGTTCGTGCTGTTCTGAAGGGTGATGGAGCTCATATCCCATGATTCCCCGAGGGAGCGGCGCTGAGCGACTGATGATCGGTGAAGAGCATCCCTCAGTTGTCCTCGTCGTCCTCGTCGGAGGAAGAGCGCGAGCGGTCCTGGCGGTAGCAGAGCGCGAGGTTGCGGAGCTGCTCCAGGGACTCACTGAGCTCGCTGAACTCGGGCCCGTGCGAGAGGAAGCTCGGGGTGACGCGCCGCAGGTCCAGCGCTGAACACATCTTCTGCAGCTCAGACAGCTGGAGACCCACGGCAGGACCCGACTGGAGACTCGTCAGCACCGGGACACCGGAGACCCGCTGAGAGCCGGCTGGGAGAGACACGGGAAGAAGACGAGAACTGGAGTTAGACAGGGACGGACAGAGAGAGAGAGAGGCTGATGTTACGGGTTCAATACAAATATTGACCTTAAAGGGCCACTCCACCCATTTGCATTAAGCTTTCCATTGTTAGAAACCCAGTCATACTATTGAATGGTCGTCCAACACTCTCATTTTCCCCTGAGACGAGAGAAATACGCTATTTCCCTTAATATTTACCTTAATTAAATCGTCATTTTACGTCATTGTCGGAGGAAGTGTAAGAGATTTCTGTAGAGACTACAAGCACTAGTTCCCGCCCTTTCAAACCCGCCCATCGGGGTTTGGACCTAATGCGCTAACAGTGCGTTTGATTTCACCGGCAGAAACTTTTTGAAAATGTATAAACAGACAAATCATAGGAGATGTGTTGCTTTACAGCAGACGACTATGTCAGTGTGTGTTCTCAGTAGCCACTAGCTGCTAATAGAGTCGAGTCAGAACGAACCTGACCTCCAGGCAAATGCGTTTAGCGCTACTAGCACTGCTAGTTCCAGACGTTCCTGGCTGTTCGTCGTCATCATCTGGCAAGGTAAATATCGACGGAATTGCGGTTTTCACAAGCGCGGGTCTCTTCAATCCTAATGGCGTGTTCACACCGAACGCGAAGTGGATTACAAACAAAGTCAATGCAAAGACGCGAATAGACGCACAGGGTCGGCGCCACGAGGGGGCCCCAGGGGGCCTGGCCCGGCCACCTCGGTCACTGTGCCCCCTCACCTCTGGTCAGCACATCACCCTCCCTCGGAAAGCGATTTCAGCCGCTGAGACTCAGCAACAGGCACACTACCACTGTGCCCTCTTATGACATATAATTAACTTAACTACACATTTATATATAGAGGCCTATATAGAAAAAACTATTTTGTAAATTAATTTAGTTTTACCTTGATTAAATCAGCTTTGCAACTTTGCATTTGCGACAGGCGATTAACTAAATTACGTCACTAGCAGCTGAAGAAAATACGCAACGAATGAAAAGACCTCGTTCTGAGAAAGTTTAACACTTCCACTCGTCGACTGCAGCTTTTCTAAAGGGATGTGTTTTTGCTTTTTTGTCTTTGTTACTAATATGATTGATTATATAGCCAGTCAGGGGTGGCGCCAGAGAATTTTTAACGCAGTTGCTGAGGGGGTGCTAGATCATTGACAAGGGGAGCTGCGCAATTATATATTATATATTTATACTATTAATAAATGAGCAAAACTTGGCCACTCAATATTTAATATTCAATTATTTTAATTTTCACAATTAAAGTTTTCATTTTACTAAATTGAACAAGCACAACATTCAGCATTCAATCAAATATTCTTAAAGATTTATTATTAATAATGTTATTTCAACATAATATCTCCTTATTTCGACATAATATGTGTGCGTGCATAAAGCAAGATGCTTGCAAATCCGGTGACAGGTGATTTTTATTAATAAAATATTTTTTTTCTGTGTCAGCTGCAAGATGAGGTTGACGATCACCATCTCCGTGAACGCGCCTATTCACATATTGGATTACATAACCAGGGAGTAACCTAGGCTATTTCTTTTCGTTTTGAATTGTTTCGTTTAAAGACACTTCAAGCTTTATATATTTCTCATCTGTGAGGCATATGCTGAGTTTTGGTTAATTTATGATGAGATGCGCTCCAGTTCACGTGCAATACAAGTGATCGCGCAGGCGCCTCCATGTCATGATTATATTGTCTGCTATATTTGCTATCCAGGCAATTGGTTGATGAAAAATGTATTAAAATTAAGATACAATTTATACAAAACGAAATTCACTTTAAAGAAAGGCTCTCTACAAAACAAAACGTACATTGCCTCTTACATTGAGTGGGTCAAAATCATTTCTGACCCACTCAATGTCTCCCGATATATACATCCTATCTTACTCATGCTGTTAACTTTTCATAATCAACAAAAATGGAAAAATATTCCATACAATAAAATATAATAAAATATATATAAATAATATTGTAACAAATATAAAACTAAATGCGCTTATTTAATGGCTACAACACGTATAGTAGGCCTTTTTGTACGAATTCCTGCACATTAATTTAATTCTGAATTTTGCACTCGTAAGTTGAAAGGCATTTTTTTGTGTATAGTAACACATATCTGCAACATTTATCAAGTTCACGGATATTGTGCATGCATTTATTAATCATTATGATACTAAAATCATAATAAAGTGCTGTACTATGTGCAAAAAAATCAGATCATAAGCCAAGAATATTGACGCAACGCGTTTAATTAGCCTACACATAAAGCATTTTCCTCCCAGGAAAACCATTATAAGAACGCTTGGTTTAATGCAGATTAGAATGTCCCAGCAGTTGTTATGTCGAAATAACGAGATACGATGTCGAAATAACAGATAGGCCTATATGCCGAAATAATATTATGTTGAGTGGCTCTGTATCGTCGCGTCGGGTATGGTGGCATGATGGGGTTGTTGTTTTTTAATTAAAAGTGTGTGTATTGTTATTATTATTATTTTTGAGGGTGGGAGAGGTAGGCCCCCCCAGTGACACATCGAAGCCCCCTCGTTCCGTATGTCCTGGCGCCGACCCTGTAGACGCATCATTCACGCCGGGCGTTGCGAATGACGAGAATTGGGCGACGCGTTTGCCGCGAATGTCTTCCGCGCAAGTTGAAAAATTTGAACTCGAGCGAATGTTCAAGCGTCTAACTAGACGCGTATTTGACGCTCTATTCGCGTTCGGTGTGAACACACCATAAGGGGTTGGGTTCGAAATCTTCTGGATTGAAATGTAGTAGTGGGAGTGGCCTGCGGAGCTGAGCATTGCAATGCACTATGGGGATTGTTGTCTACAATCCACAAGCACTAAAAAAGTCATTTTCTGCCTTTTATCGACCAAGAAGGACCCAAATTAGACATTTATGCTACTATTCTACTACATATATGACCCACTTTCAATACATATTCATGTCTCAACCGGTGGAATTACCCTTTAAAGGGATAGTTCACCCAAAAATATAGATTAAAAATGATCTCATGATTTACTCTCCCTCAACTCATCCTATATGACTTTCTTTTTTCAGACGAACACAATCAGAGTTATATTAAAAATGTCCTGGCTCTTCCAAGCTTTATAATGGGTGTGAATTGTACCTGAGATTTTGAAGCCCTAAAAAGTGTATTTGAAACCCTGATCTTGATTATCGAGCGGCACTCACTGTCAGCGGGATCAGACTGGTTCTGGAGGAAGCCCTGCGGACCCAGAGCCGGACTGAAGATCTGTGGGAACGGAGGCGTGAGTTTACTGGGACTGGACAGCAGCTGCACCGCCCTGCACACACACACACACACACACATCGGACTCAGACCAACGACAGCCGCTCAGAGCCGTACGGTTAGTGTGTGTCGATCACTCACAGAGGGGATGATGGGTAACGTGACCTGACGTACGTCGCCAGCACGTCTTCTCCAGAGCACTCGTAGTGCAGAGGACTGGGCGGCTCCACACCCGGGAGAACAGCACTGGGGACAATAATACTATTAGCATCGCAACAACAATATTATTATAGATTTGAAATACATTTTCATGTGCAATAGAAAAAAAACTCAGTATTTTACATTGATATTCAATACCACCTCTTTTCTTAGTCTTCTAACTAATATTCAAAGAGTATTATTGGTAACACTTTACAATAAGGTCTCATTAGTTAACATGAACTAACAATGTGCAATATTTTTATTCATCTTTGTTAAAGTTAGTTAGTAAAAAATCTAATTGTTAAAAGTTTGTTCATATTTGATCGCACCACTGTTAACTTGAATGTGAACTAAATGTAGAAATTTGCATTAAGATTTAATAAATGCTGTGGAATTATTGTTCATTCATTGTTCATGTTAACTAATGAAACCTTATTGTATAGTTTTACCATATTATTTATATACCATTATAGTTTTTAAATAGCTTTTATCTTTAAATTTTACTTTATTTTTTTAGTCATATTAATGTATTAATATTACCATTTAGATTAATTTATTTTCAGTTCAGTTTCAGTTTTATTAATGCTTAAACTTATTTTACTTGGTTTCCAAGGCAACATTTCTAATTTTAGTCTAGTCTTTCATCAAATACTTTAATTTTATTTCAGCCTTATTTCAATTAACAGAAATATTAATCATTTCATTTCGTGGGTACAGCATTTTAAAATGAATTAAATTGCATTTTTAATTACAATTCAATTCCTAAATTGTAAAGGTAACAAATATGGTGCAAAATCTGAATTTTAAGAAGCAGAATTTAAATGAAACAACACTAACATGAATGAATATAATTGCTGTTTTTTAAGTTGGCATGAAATAAAAATTTCTAAATGCATGTTATTGATTTTATTGTGAACAATTTGTCCATGGATATATATAAAAAAAATTTGACCGAATAATGTTTAATGAAAATGTCATACTCAATCACTTAAACCCCGCCCCTTTCTTATGAGTGCCACGCCCACATCTCAACATCCAATCAACAACTGATGCACAGAACCAGGTCCCGCCCAACTTATTTTTAATTTTTGATAATCCGTTGGATGTATTTCACAATGCAGAAGAAAAGATCTCGAGTCGCTACTTCCATTTTATCACAATGTTTGAAATAATAATAATTGTGGCTTGCTTTCGTTTTGACAGTAATAATGTATTAATAACTAATTACATTTATTAAGGAATAATGTTTTAATGTTCCTTTAAAACTAATGCTGCTCAACACCAGGAAATTTGGAGGTTAAACGAACAAACTACAGCTAAATATAACACTAAAATCGTCAGTCCTCTCACCTGACTAACCTCTGCCCGTCTAAACCTCTCAGAGTCACCGATTGGCCGAAACAGCGCCCGTCGCCGAGCTCAGGACACGCTGAAAGGGGTTTCCACGGTAACGCATCCGAAAAGGCATCCAGAGCCTCAGGGAGGCAGCTGCCGTGCATCATGGGAAACGGCACCGAGCCATACGCTGAAACCACCTGCAAAACACAGTCGCATGAAGTCAGGAACGACGTCATTTCACACTAAATCAGGTCAGAGAATCACAGTTTTGGTTTAAAACTAAGATCACGATTCTCCCACGATTCTGGACACACAATAACATGTCATTTACCAGAGGTTCTGACAAAATGTAAATTGCTGCAGTTTATGTAAAAAGTTTAATGAATCTGAATTAATTATTTTAAAAAATGTGTTTGAATGAATGATTCAATAGTTCACTCATGAAGACTTCATTGTTTCATTACTGGATGAATCTGCGTTTTTTGAATGAATCTCTTGAGTGAATGATTCAATAATAAATTAGAGTAAAAATGAGCTGTATTGTTATAGTTCTCATCCTTGGTGTGAACAGATCTGTACACTAACAGGAGTGTGTGTTAAACGCACCTTCCTCCCCGAGGCGGTCAGGGCGTCCGACAGCTGCCACATCACTGAACCGCCCGTTCCCAACCTATACGGCACCGTCATGCAGTCCAGAGCCAGAGCCAGCACTGAGCCGGAGTGGAACCACAGCGCCGGCTGGGGGGGGGGGAGAGAGGGAGAGAGAGAGAGAGAGAGAGAGAGGGGGAGAGAGAGGTGAGGTTGAGACAGAGATGCACTTTCTCCTACAATGTGAAGCGTTCAAAGACACAAGGAACCTTTACTTTAACAAATTTAACTATATAATCCCAAATTTCAAAGACCGGAATGAAATTTCTAAATTAAACTTTCTCCTGGGAGAAGGAGACAGAACTTGGGGGGGGGGGAGATCAGCAGATACTGTATAAATGAAAGATCAGTGTTATTTTATTTTCAGAGGATCTTTAGACATTCTGATCTACAGCACATAGAGGATATATTTTTATTATTTATATATAATATGCTGATGCTTTGGCAACATTGTGTTACACAGTCATGCTAATAAAGCTCATTTGAAATTGAAAATGGAAAACTTGAGAGAGAGAGAGAGAGAGAGAGGGGGGGGTCATCAGATACTGAATAAATGAAAGATCAGTGTTGTTTTAGTATCACTGATCAGTGTTAATACTTGGAATTAATTTTATTTGAACATTTTCCGCTTTTATTTTAACTGTAGTTAACGTTTAGTAACGTTTTTTTTTTATAAATTTTTGTTTTTGTAAAAAAAAAGGCTAGTTTTTATTAGGGATGCATCGAAATTACGGCTACTGAATTTTTTTGGCAGAAACAGCTATTATCGGTTTCGGGCCAAAATGGTGTTGGAGAGCCTTTAATCTGGACAATTATGGTGTTAAATAAGGATTATTTTAAGGCTTTTTAATTTTTTTGTCTTTTATTTAAGTAGGGATGCACCGATATGAAAATTTGGGCCGATACTGATAACCGATAATTCTTTGGATTTGAAAGCCGATAACCGATATTTTGGCTGATATTTATATTTTTTGAGAGCCTCATTACAAAAACAAAACTCTCACCATTAAAAGCCATGTCCAAAAGCACACAGTTATGATGTTCTCATTATAATGTTATGTAGCCGATTATGCAGACTGTATTTTCTTTTATGAAGGGATTTCAATCATATTTCCAGCAATTCATAACCATCATGTTGAACAGTGCACATCTGAAGTGTCTCAGCTGAAGCAAATATCGGCTTTTATGCATCGGCAAACATTTCTTATCGGGCCGATAACGATAACATAAAAAATGAACTTATAGCGGACGATACGGATATATATCGTGCATCTCTAATTTTAATCAACGAAAATGTTTTTTTATGGGTTTTGATTTAGTTAACTGTAACTCTGAAACAGTTTCCAGCGAATGAAAGCGGCTTACGTCACAGTTGAGCAGCGGGAAAGCAGTGGGCGGCGGGGGACGTCTGCCCAGTCCGCCTCTCAGGGTCAAAGGGCAGAAGAAAGAGCTGTGATTGGCCATGTGCAGCGTCCCCAACGCACAGTTCAGCATGTGGTACAAGTCCAGTACAGAGCTCTGTCAGGCGGACACAAAACACGTTCAGACACTTTAAAGGAGTAGTTCACCTCAAAATTAAAAATTTCCTGACAATTTCCTCAATTTTTTGAGTTTTTTGAGGAAAACATTCCAGGATTTTTCTCCACACAATGGACTTCAACGGTAACCAAATTGTTGAAGTCCAAATCAATGCAGTTTCAAAAAGCTTTCAATGGGGCGGTGCTTCCGCCTACGTCCAGCATGACCTTTCCACCGTGTATATACATTTAAAAAGTATATACATTTCTATTTTTTAGAAAATTAGCGATTGTTTCGCTAGATAAGACCCGGTTCCTCAGCTGGGATCGTGCAGAGACCCTTGAAACTGCATTGTGTGGAGAAAAATCCTGAAATGTTTTCCTCAAAAAACTTCATTTCTTTTCCACTGAAGAAAGAAAGACATGAACATCTAGGATGGCATTGGGGTGAGTACATT